GAGCCAGAACAAGTCGTTTTGGAATTTACAGTATTTGTAATGAAAATATATTTCCTAAATAATTTTTCTCATCTTTCTTTGTTTGATACTTCATTTTAACGCTGTTACAGAACTCATTTGAATAATTGTGTCAAATGATTCGTTGAAAACTGTTAAGAGCGCGGTCGTAATCATCGTTTCACGAAACAGTAGAACCAAACAAATTGCAAGCCAACGACTAGTATTCCAAACGAAACATTATTGAAATAGCATGCAAACGGTGAAAGATGTACATATATACTGGGAGATGCAAATGCCAAATTAAGTTACCTTGAAAATACATGAATGTTCCGGGGGTTCAAACTGATCAGTTTCTTGTTATCGGAAATTATTTTGGATTTTCAAACGTTTTGGAAGAGCGGGGTAGACAGCCGAACAATAACCCATCCCAAACGGAATTTACATTTAGAAACAGTGTGCCTCAGTGCCGTAAGTGTTAGCATACATCAACTTCGCAAATGCAACTGGTGTTCGTGGATTCTTAACTGGGGCAAAATTGGCTCCTTGCTCCTTGCATTGGTGATATCAATTCCTAAGAATTAAAGCGAAACAGCTCTACTGTCTATTTAATGCTTTACCGTCTCAGAGGTGCTGCGACTGACCGGGACAAATCGGAAAATAAACCTCTAAACTACTTCAATTCACTATAGGTTACTTGGACAAATGGGAAACCGTAGCGCAGGGATAATCTGTGTTCAGTTCAGTAGGTATCTGTGGGAGGAAACAACCATCAGTGGGTTCGTCTGGAGAACGGCAGAAGCCATAGACAAATATAAACAAGCTACACGGACTCGAATTTCACCGTGGTGGAGCCAGGTGGAATTTACTTGAAATGTGATTAGATAGGAAACGTGATGATTGTTGGCGATTCCATAACGTATCATCACTATAATTTTTCCGTGTACTGGCTGAAAACAATGTGACTTGCACCATATTTTCCGGGAACATTTGAAGTCATCACGTCTCTCTCTCCCTTGCTCTCCATTTCTTTTACCATACTCTTAAACACGTGAAGGTGAAGACTGGAATAAGATCATGCACGACTGTATGATTCAACCTCCTTTTTGTCGAATGCGTACCAATTTTTGGGAAACGGACTGTGGGAATTTTCGAGCGGCGCTAATCTATTTCTGTTCCTTTTATGTGATCATCACGTATGTGATGTTGAACGTATTGGTGGGTAAGTTGAAATATTGTTTTTTCTCTATGTTCCAATTCAAACATGGGTCACGCAAGCCTTGCCAATTAATGCACTCCAAAAGAATTTCACAGTTTAATTAGCTTCATTTTTGGAGATCCAGTTTTCTAATCCACTGTTAGATATCATACTTTGAGAATTGGCTGTGATGAATTTGAAGTAATAAACTTGTTCAACTCCGCTCAAAATTCAAGCTAACGTTTTGGCTACCGATATGTGGGGAACACAGACTCGCCTAACCGTGAGAGAGAAAAATCTTTAATCGCCTTTGGAAGTCTGTTTAAGCTTCTGACAATCGCATTCAAAAAATTAATACCTTCACTGCTTATCATTCGTCATCTTAAGTAAAATCTACCGTTGCCCTGACCATATTGTTTTATTGCATAAAACTTGTCCTTTGCCAGTTCACACTTCTCATCATTAAGCGTGCAATAGGAATTAATTCGAATATACACGACATAGAACAATCCATCTATGCCAGCTTGTTGCGAGTATCTGCCCTCTCTCATCTGGGCACTAGCCTCTAGGGTTATACCTCAGTTTGAAACTTTCACAACCTGATCGTCCTTCGCATGAGATAAATGGTGCATTTTATTTATTTGAATTATGAACTAGTCGTGTAAATGAAGTGTGAGCTGAAAAGATGGGTAGCACTGGACAGCTGTTTCGACCTGATTTGGTCGAGTCATAACCCTGGAGGCTGGTGCTGAGTTGAGCGAGGACCGATACTCGCGACAAGCTTGCATAGATGCGTTGTGCTATATGGTGTATATTCAAAAGGAGAAACGGTCTTATCAGCTGCCCGTTAGCCGAGTGGGTAGTGTGCTTGCGTTCTATCTATGAGGTCCCCGGTTAGACCCCCAGTTGGATCGATGCATTGGCACTGCGGATGTAACCCAACCAGGTCTAAACAACTGTCCAGTACTTTCCAGCTTCTCAGCTCACACCCCATTTACACGACGAATTCATGATATAAGGAACCAATTCCACTAACGCGCTACATTTGGGAAAACACAGGGATATCGTAGAACACATGGGATTAAGTCAACGTTGGTGCACCATCACTAAATCAAACGCATATCGTTCATGCCAAACCAAAGCTCCCTACCAAACAGTGAGTAGGTCTTGAAACTGTGACTGAAGTGGCGATGTCCAACATAAAACAATTTCCTTGGTCATCCGATGATGAGAAGCTCTATCAGATCTGAATTTTTTGCAGAATCGGATGGTTTTTACTGTGCAGAATAAAAATAAATAATGCTAATCCGACAGTCGTTTAGATGTCTAACAATTTTCCCTGAATAGTAATATTGCTTGTCGATCTTTTACCGTCCAAATCTACTTCACTGTATTGATACGGTCTCATCAAATAGTGCAGCTAAATTTCATGTCCATAGTAGGGAGTTACATTATGGCATATTGAATGGAAGATCCTTTGATGCACGGCCTACAAATCATATAAATTCTTATCCATTCTCCCTGAATCTGAGGGTTTCAAATTTGCCTATTTGCTATTCCTTTTCCGATTTGACATTGAGTAGGGATTATATACCTGAACAAGTACAGATTCTCCAAGTTGGAATCGATTATTTAGTACTTTTCACTCTGAGTCAAACAATTGATTAAGTTTCTCATTACAACAAGTGAGTATCCTGTTTTTGACGGATGCTTGTAAGTGTTGACACTGTGCATAGCTTTTACAGTGGAAGCAAGGTTTATGAGTAGAGTAAGGGATGCAGTGGTTATTGTCGTTGTTGGTGGTGATGGTGATTGCGTGGTTATTTCTCCTAGCTTGTTTGCTTAGCTGTAAGCACTTTTCCGTACATTAATTGAACGCGCACCAATCAGATGTCTACCACGCAAATACACCACCCGTATAGACAAATGAAAGCTGAGAAAACACACATTCTTATTGTTAGGGTCCATTGTCAAAACCTTTTGAATGACAAACAATAATCTTGGAGAACAACTCTTTATGAGCAACTGAATGTGGTCCTGAAGGTTGGCTAGTTTAATGTAAGAACCAATCGTATCATTGTGGTTGAATAACAGTGGGGATATGGCAATTATAAGTCAGTATGCTTAAACTACTGCAATCATTTTCCCAGTTCGCACGATTATCGCACATTTTTGAATTACATCAATTTTCAATGTACAATCTCCTATCAAATCATCCAATCAGCATGGCAATTTTGATCTCTTCCAGATGGTTACAGCGGTTTAGTATCTCAGATACCGTTCCATATGCTTGGAGTTTTCTGGTAGCTGTCTATTTATTACACATCTTTTTCGCCATTTTGGTTATCGATACAACTAACTGCTGAGTTTTCTTATGCAAAAATGCTTGTCCTCGAAAGACGGACAGAGTAAACTGCTCTTGCTTCACATTCAGCCTCAGTCTGTCTGAGATCAGTGTCACTTTCACGCAGTTCGGCATCACGCGGACACGAACACGATGTCCCCAGAGAATTTCAGCACTGCCCCATACTCTGCCTGTGATACACGCTTCAGAGAGCACGGAAAACAACTGATTTGATGGACGGCATTTGCCAGCGTTGATCGACGGGCCCCAGGCCAGGTGTGCTCCCCACCCGATCTGGTACACCACAGAAACACCATTGTGGCTATGCAGTGCGAAATGAGGAAGATGAATTTGGAAAAAAGAAGCTCACTTTGTCCACATGCTTCACTGACCACACAGTAAGCCAAATCGGTCAGTTTCAGCATGGCACTTTTAGCCACGGATCTGATTTAGCAGGGAGAGAGGAAGCCGTCACTCCGATTGCGTGATCTTATTGTGTCGTGAGGTTAAGATACGGGGAAGGGAATGCAATGTGTGAATGACATCTCAGTCAGGAAATCGAAAAACACCATAGTATGTCATCTCGCGTTCATAGGCGGAAATAATGCATGAGTTATTTTATTCAACTTCGGGTTATTACAGGCGGCTTAATATAGAGAAACATACAATAATCGAATAGGCAAAGAGATGAGTCAGTTGTAAAAAATGTAAATCGAATGACCGGGTCAACTGGGGAATCTGTGATGGTTCTTCTTGGCTTCATAGACGAGCAAACAAAAGTAACTGTGAATGCACTGTGAATAAAACGCTCCTGTTGTGATCTATCTAAGGAATACACTACAGTTAAAAAATAATAAACAGAAGAGTTTAATTACTGTCTGACTTTTATGGAATCAGATACCAGTGCCTGAGAACTTAGAAAACCACTCTATCTATCTATCTATCTATCTATCCATCTATCTATCTATCTATCTATCTATCTATCTATCTATCTATCTATCTATCTATCTATCTAACTATCTATCTAACTTTATATCTACCTATCTAATCTCTCTATCTATCGTATCCATCTATCTATCTATCTATCTATCTATCTATCTATCTATCTATCTATCTATCTATCTATCTTAATCTATCTGTCTATCTATCTATCTATCTATCTATCTATCTATCTATCTATCTATCTATCTATCTCAATGTCTGTCTATCTATCTATCTATCTATCTATCTATCTATCTATCTATCTATCTATCTATCCTTTGTCTATCTATCTATCTATCTATCTATCTATCTATCTATCTATCTATCTATCTATCTAATCAATCTATCTATCTATCTATCTATCTATCTATCTATCTATCTATCTATCTATCTATCTATCTCTATCTATCTATCTATCTATCTATCTATCTATCTATCTATCTATCTATCTATCCTATCTTTTTATCTATCTATCTATCTATCTATCTATCTATCTATCTATCTATCTATCTATCTATCTAGTATCTATCTATCTATCTATCTATCTATCTATCTATCTATCTATCTATCTATCTATCTATATTTTATCTATCTATCTATCTATCTATCTATCTATCTATCTATCTATCTATCTATCTATCTAGTATCTATCTATCTATCTATCTATCTATCTATCTATCTATCTATCTATCTATCTATCTAGTTGTGTCCATCTCCCTATTCTTCTAACTTTGTTTGTAGATTAAATTTTTGACAGAACTGATCGCAGAAATTTACTCTATATTCAGTGAATCGCTACTCTGAATATATGTTTATCTCCTATCATTATCTAAAGAATAATGATTAATATCTAGTTCTGCTTCGAACCCCAACACGTATTCTAAACGTGGGTATATCAAACGTTTTCACTATACTGTTATTTCGTTCATTAGCTCGCGTATCGGTCATTTTTTCTTCCTACGAAATCTGCAATGCCTACACAAAGGTGGTGGTGGTGGTGATCAACTGGCTTAAATCACTGTCTTTGTTATGTTCCTTGCCCTTAAGGGTGAGGTTCAAACCTTTCCGTCATCGCTCCAAATTGGCGGAAAATAGTTGAACTGTAGTCCGAGTCATATTGGGGCCTTTCGAGGTTGGCCACTCCTAGTTCCAGGGGTTGGATGGCTGCTTATCACCGGTGAATAGTAAACCCTGCAAGTAGGGTATATAACCGTTTTATCATTCATCATGTTATGTTATTGTGTAGTTATTTTTGCCCCTTTATGACTGGGATGTAGAACAGTAGTGAGTCAATATGTGTCCACTTGTCTAAACGAGTCAAATCTTACAATCTGCTTTGGAATTCAGTAATTATAGCTACAGAATAAATAGGATCTGACGATCTCTCGTTGACGATTGAAGTAAAAAAGTACGTTTATCTATTACTCCTGCATCAAATAAGCCCAAGCCAGGGCAAGATGCCGAAAGTGGTAACACCTCTTCTTTGTGACGCGTCAGTGCATGGGGATGTACACAAAGTTAACACCGGAAATACATCTCTAGCTGTCATTTAGACAAGTAAAAATTCGCGTAGGATGTTTCTGAAACGTCTTTGAGCGCTCGCATTACTTTCTGACTCTGGGCAGAACTCTAAAATTTCGATAAACTTATTATGACAGACAGGTAAACTGAAACGGTTTTACCTGGTGGTGGCCTCAGCTAGATTTGCAGTTCGTGCATGGATGGTTAAGTTGTCGAACCTGGGCCTCATGAGGATGAAGATATAAGTCAGCATATTGCATGAAAAACAAATGGACTTTAATTAACACTTTGGTAAACCGGTTCATTATTTAAGAATGATGTCCCAGTGGATGTGACACGCAACTGACCTCAAACCGAGCATGTTCAATAAAGGGCACTATGCGGCTTGCAATCCAAGTTGCATGAGTTAATTAAGTCTCACATATAATGATCGAATCCAGTTAATACTATATTATACAATGAGTCATTCAATGGGATTACAAAAGTGACAGAGAGCTATGATTGGCTAACACAATACCCGATCTGTACATACAGTCAACCGTTTAATTGCTGTTTGATTGCAATACCATGATAATAGAACGGTCACCCCCTAGCCTGT